CCCTGACATCACCGGAAGTGTGTCAGAAGGCAACACCCACTGCTCAGGCTCCACTGGACTGTTTTGGATGGCTAGCTATTTTTTTTTGGGGGGGGAGACGTGCAGATCTGCCCTCTCAGAGGAGGGAGGGCTTGTACCTGAATAAAACTTGGTCTTAAAGGTGCCACTGGACGGTTTTGGGACCGGGGTGGGGTGCTCTGCAATTTACCTGGCTGCTTCTTGCTCTGACTGAGGGCTGCTGGGAGCAGGGGGTGGGGCTTGTTGCATGTGCCCGCCCCCTGGGCTCTTTACTGCCGGAGCTCCGCTCCTGTGCGCTCCTGCAGGAAATGACCCCTGGTTACGGGAGACCTCCACTCACCACCTGGAGGTTGGCAGTCCTATAGCTAATACCTCCTTGACAGGGGGAATGGTCGCCCCAGCCCCGAAACAGGCCGTGATGCATTCGTCACAAATGTGCCATTGTTGAGCAAGCTGATTAATCAGATGGTGGCGGAACAATGTCAAGCATTCCTGGATGAAGTGGATTGGCTGAGTCCTTTCCAGTCTGGCTGTGGGACTGAAACAGCCTTGGCCACCCTGGTCAATGACAGGCGCTGGCAGCAGACGGACCCAGGGAGTGTGACTCTGCCGATTCTCCTGGACTTCTCAGCGGCTCAGTCACAGCATCATAGAATGTTAAGAGCTGGAAGAGACCTTGCAGGTCATCTAGTCCAACCCCCTGCACTCTGCAGGAGCATAGCTGAAAGATAGCCCTACATACCTACAACATACCCGAAAGATGGTCGTCCAGCCTCTGCTTGAAAACGTCCAGCGAAGGAGCATCCACCACCTCCCGAGGCAGACTGTTCCACTGCTCAACCACTCTTACAGTTAGGAAGTTTCTCCTGATATTCAGCCGGTAACGACTCCCTTGTAATTTCCACCCATTAGATCTAGTCTTGCAATCCGGAGCAAGAGAGAATAGAATGCTCCATCTTCTACATGACAGCCCTTCAAATACCTGAAGACTGCAATCGTGTCCCCTCTAAGCCTTCTCTTTCCCAGGCTAAACATACCCAACTCTTTCAGCCTTTCCTCATAAGACTTGGATTCCAACCCTCTCACCATCCTGGTCGCCCTCTTCTTGACACGCTCGACATCCTTCCTAAAATATGGTGCCCAAAACTGGACACAGGACTCCAGGTGAGGCCTGACCTGACAGTCGAGGTATCCTAGACCACCTTTTCTGGCTGCAATGTGAAGGTGCCGCTTTGCTGTGGTTCCAGTCCTACCCGGAGGACTGTAGAGGTAGTGCTGGGTGTGTGTGCTGCTCAGCCCCCTGGCCTTTGGCCCATGGGGTTTCACAAGGCTCCATCTTGTCTCTTTAAAATCTACATGAAACCACTGGGTAATCTCGGGATGTTTTTTTTGTAGAAAAAGCCCAGCAGGAACCCAGTAGCACAATAGGCCACACCCAACAGCAGAAACTCATTAACATATTAGACCCCACCCTGACAGCACAGCACATTAGCATATTAGGCCACACCCCCATGTTACCAGAAGTGTGCTCATCCAGCCACACCCACCTTTTGCTTCTTATTCTGTTGACCTTGTTTGTGGTCACAACCCAGGGCCTTTTTTTGTAGCAGGAACCCCTTTGCATGTTAGGCCACACACCCCTAATGTAGCCGATCCTAATGAGTTTCTGCTGTTGGGCATGGCCTTATTATGCTAATGAGTTCCTGCTGGGCGTGGCCAACTTGGGAGCCAGCCGGAACTCCGTTCCTGTGCGTTCCTGCCCAAAAATAGCCCTGGGTAATCTGGAAACTTGGGCTGGGTTGTTACCAATATGTTTCTGAAAGCGAAGGCTCCCCTAACTCCACTACTGTCTCCTCCCCCCCCCTTTTAAAGCTATCTAGGCTTGTGGTCATCCTTGTGTCCACTGGCAGTGAATGCCATAATTTAATTATTCATTGAGTAAAAAAGTATTTCCCTTTTGCCTGACCTGAAACATCAACTTCATTGGGTGCCCCAAGTTCTAGAATTATGGGAGAGGATCAGGGGTCATTTCGTAGAAAAAGAGGTGCAGGAGCTCTTAGCATGATTCATTTGCATATGCCACACCCCCTGACATCCCCGGAAGTGTGCCAGAAGGCAACACCCACCGCTCAGGCTCCACTGGACTGTTTTGGATTGCTAGCTATTGGGGGGGGGGGAGAACGTGCAGATCTGTCCTCACAGAGGGGGGGGAGCTTGTACCTGAAAAAACCTTGTCCTTACAGGTGCCACTGGACTGTGTTGGATTGCTATCTGAGGTAGCAGGGGGTGGGGCTTGTTGCATGTGCCCGCCCCCTGGGCTCTTTACTGCCGGAGCTCCACTCCTGTGCGCTCCTGCAGGAAATGACCCCTGGAGAGGATGAAGAAGTTCTTTCTGTCCACTTTGCCTGTGACCATACACCATACATATATGCTTAGTGTGAGCAAAGCAATATCTCCTAAGCTCTTCTGAAATGTCTCCTGCTTTACCGAGGTGAAGACAAGCCAAGTCTGGCCCTCAGTTTTTGCGGAGAAGCTAATGGGCACAAGAAAACACACGGGCAGGCACTAAGACCCTCTTGGGGCACCCACAGTGGGGAATTGCCTCTCTAACCACTACGTCACACTGGCTCTCGCATCATGGACAGGTCTAACGGGGCCACAGATTAAGCCCTGTAAGTCCAGGTCATCAAATATCTAGAATGCTTTGGGGGGGAAATTAGTAACGAACTTTTAAGTTGCCCCAAGAAAGTTCTACAGATACGAAGGAACAAAACTGTCTCAAGCACATGAACACTCACCAAGGTCGCTTATTGGATGTTCCAACACAAACGTGTTGAGTGGGGACAGTCTGCCACTTTTTGGCTTCCACAACGAGGGCTTCTGCATCCACCAGGCCAAAGCCATACAGGTGGCTAACTGGAAGAAAAAAAACACACTACTGATGTCTCAAAGATCCATTTGTTTATTAAAGAAAGAAAAAACCATCCCCACCGCCCAGAAGGTTGTTTACACATTTATGGTGCTCTGCGTTGTAGTTTCCAAGAGGCATAAAACAAAAGAAAACCTATTCTCATTCCTGGTGGAAGAATATGTATTGCTCCATGTTGCAACCAGTACATTTGTAGGAAATTTAAAATTTCTCTTTCTCTCTCGAGAAAATACCATTAGAATCAGAACTAAATACACTCAGCAGAGAATTTCACAGATATGAGGTTGCCGATGCATATTCACTGACAGGGCTATTTTTGGGCAGGAACGCACAGGAACGGAGTTCCGGCTGGCTTCAGAGTTGGCCACGCCCACTACAGCTAAAACCTCTGTAGCTACAGATGGAAGGCCTGGAGAGCGACCCCCCCTCCCAGCGACTCCGAAGCGGGGGGGCAGGGCCCCCCCTGGAAGGATCGGGGAGGCATTTAAGGGCCGGCTTGCCAGGCATCACGCAGCCGTGGGGCACCTGGGCAAGTCAAGGGAAGACATGGGGTGTGGCCTAATAAGCTAATGAAGTGTGCTGTTGGGGGTGTGGCCTATTATGCTAATGAGCTCCTGCTGGGCT